CTCACGTCTTGAAAAAAACATTTACGTCCCACATGCTAATCTGTCCAGTGCTACCACTGGACAGAATCAGGTCTTCTATTTGAGAGAGAAATCTGATTGAACCAAATTTGAAAGGTCCTTGGTGCTCTCTGAGCTTGATTATTTTCTTGCAGACTTTTTATTACCCATATAGGTAACCTCATCAGTGCTGCAGTACATACTGATGATGTTATCTAGTTTGGGTAATAAAATGTCTGCAAGAAAATAACCAAGCTCAGAGAGCATCAAGGACCCCTCTTTTCAGCCCTGAGCTACAAATATTCTCCTTTATAAGTAACAAATTTGAAGACATCCATCAGTTGATTTAAAGTATGGCAGGGTCATCATGTGAAACTTCATTAAATGATATTGTGGGTGTTTATTATACCCCAGATTTTACGTATATCAACCGGCCACTCTGGTGCTTTCGCCTTGAGAATGCTGATGAATGGAAGAAATTAACAGGCTTTTCTGAAGCCCTACTAAATCCCAATTAGCTATGTGTTTCATATGCAGCTATTCACAAGACCATGCACTGAAACCAGTAGGGAAGACAGCCAGAATTCTGAAGCAAAAACATTTAGAAGTTACTTAGAATTTTGACCTAGCGAGAGATCTCATCATCTCCATAATTCATATTGACTTCCACTCATACGAGGAAATGCTTGACAACAAAAATTGAGAAAAATAAAAAGTGTTGAACTTGTGTAGTGAGCCAGGTCCTCTTTTTTTTTTTTTTTTTAATACCTAGCACTCTAGGCAGAATTTCATTATCCTTTTTTATATGCAACAAAGTAGGTGGGATGTAATCTATCACAGTGAAGCACAGGAGCATTATCTGTTGCTCCAAGAATCAAAGCTCACAGGAGGATACAATCTTCATCTAAACAATAAATCTCAGAGACCACCTCAGTATGTTTTATAGCATGTGAGAGAATTACATAAAAAATAAAGAAAAAAAATGAAGGCAAAATCAATTTCTGGTTTACAATTTGGGTTGGAGATATTTCTATGTACAAAAGATGCACTGGTGGTCCCACAGCAATCCCGGTCACTCCCCTGTTCCCACCTCCCAACCGTATTTCTGACTATAAGTAAACAATGGAAGGCACACAAAAAACCCCCTCTTGTATATAACAACGTGACCTTCTCATGCAGGGCTGTCCAGTCTTCGCCACTTTAAGACTTGTGGTCTTCAACACTCAGGGTGGCTGGCTGGGGAATTCTGGGAGTTGAAGTCCACAAGTCTTAAAGTGGCAAAGTTTGGACACCCCTTGTTCCAATGAACACTCTTGGTTGCCAGTGTAATGCATCTTCCTGGCAGGGATACACACTACTGAAAGAGGGTAAAAGCAGACCTCCTTTAGCGACTGCCATGTTTAGCAACTGTCCGCAATTATGACAGTGATAAAAAAGTAACTTTTTGATCAATCCTTGTATTTTCGACCTTTGTAGGTCTGCAAAGCAAAGGAAAGCTTAAGTAAGATTTTGTGCACTGTCCCAGTTTCACTTAGTGATTGTTTTCCTTAACAACCGAGTTGTCAAACTCAATTGTTGTCACTAAACAAAAACTACCAATAATTATAAATCCCAATTGGAACTGAATCCAGTCATCCATCATGGGGAAGGTTTATTCTCCAGTTAATCATAATTTGGGAGATCATTCATTTTTGACCTACATGTAACTTGCATCTGAGTAAGTATCTATCTCTTTCTCTTTCCCTTGCCCTACCCCCCATTTCCCCTCTGCACCTCAGTTTAAATCTTGCATGAGAACAGCCACTATATGCATCTGATATATGAGCTGCATCCCATAAAAGCTTGTACCTTTAAATTAAATTCATTTGTCGGAAAAATTCCACCAAACCTTTTACCACTATAGACTGCTATAATTTCTTATTTACAGATTATCCAGATATCTCCTGACTATGCTCCAATTATTACCACACAACATTTTTTTTAATTGTCTCTGTAAAAAATAAAAACAACTTCCAAACAAACTCGAAACAATTATATAAATGTCAAATACATTTTTTTAAAAATGGTGCCATGCTGCTGGCAGCTAAGGAGAAAGAATCATGCCTGCTGAAATTCTACCCACCTACTTGCCTCACACTTAATTTGGTAGCAGAACTGATCCTGTTTCTGATTTAGATGGAAGTTTTATTGGACTCTAAATGAACAAACTGTGAGAGATACCTATTGCCTCGGTGAAGATTTCAAACTTCTTAAGCAATGGAGCTCCTGCAGTGCAATCATCTAACAAACGGCACGCACGTAATAACAGGATGGAAATAATATAACTGGGGAGGCAAATCCCTCAAACTCAATAACTGATTGTAAATTCAATCTCAATGGTCGGCTGCTGTCTTGTGCCTTCCAATAAAGCTGAATTATTGAATCAACGTGATTCGGTTTTACGGAGAATATTACTGCAAGGATTCTACAGCAAGCTATTACATAGCTATTAATATGTGATTTCAATAACTGACAATTGCCCCCATGATACTGGGAAACCATCTACATCTTTTTTTGATGAATATTTTACTTTTAACAAAGCAACAAGTCCCTATTTATTTCTTTGTTCAAAACAATCTCCACTCTGCTTTGCACATGGACATCCCCTAATGTAGTCATTTCCTAAATGCTAAAAATGGTCAGGTTCTCCTGTCTGTCAGCTATTGGCTCCCTTTTCTCATATTACATGTGAAAGTCAGGAGCCAACAACACACCCTTCCGGAAGATTTACGCATTCACTCTGGCAAAATACAGCCTGTAGCAGGATTCAGGTCTCACACCGGGTCTGTAATTCTTTCTCCAGCCACTCCGGCATCATAATTCTGTGATTGCTTATGGAGTCAGATAGGAGTCTGGGATGAGCTGGCAAAGTGCCCGTAGTGGTGATTAAAGAATCTGCTGGTTCTTTGCTGTGAACCCAGGCCTTTCTGAACATTGGATAATGACTTACATTTGGTATATTTTTGAACACCTGCCTATGTTAAGTTTGTTATGGTTCATCTTGCTTTGCTTTGAGAAACAAGGATTTCTTTCAGTTCTAGATTTACTGTATAGCTGAAAATTTGTCTTACTTTTAATCAGTTTTCCAAATAGGTTGGAGGTTGGCAGGCACATTTCTAGTTGGAGGAATGGGGATTCTCCCATAAAATGGATACTCATTGTGGATACAGGTAGTCCTCGACTTATAACCGATCGTTTAGTGACCGTTCAAAGTTACAACAGCAATGAAAAAGTGACTTATGACTGTTTTTCACACTTGCAACATTCCCATGGTCATCTGATCAAAATTCATACACTTGGCAACTGGTTCATACTATTGACGGTTGCTGTGTCCCGGGGTCATGTGATCAGCTTTTGCGACCTTCTGACCAGCAAAGCCAGATTCACTTGACAACTGTGTTACTCATTTAACAACTGCAAGTGGTTCGCTTAACAACTGTGGCAAGAAAGGTAGTAAAAGGGGACAAAGTTCACTTGACAACTGTCTCACTTAGCAACAGAAATTTGGGGCTCAGTTGTGGTTGTATCTTGAGGACTACTTGTATAGACAGCCATAAAATATTCATTTACTACAGGGTGTAAAGGTGTTCCTTGTCATCCCAGTTAATGATCTCTTCTTCCCCTTCCCCTTTATGTGATGTCTACCGCTCCAGCCTCCAATATTTTTCTAGGCAGATCGGGCAACTCCTCCAAAGTGAGATCATCTAGATCAGGGGTAGGCAACCTTGGCTCTTTTATGACTCATGGACTTCAACTCCCAGCTATGCTGGCTCAGGAATTCTGGGAGTTGAAGTCCATGAGTCATAAAAGAGCCAAGGTTGCCTACCCCTGATCTAGGTTATAGTCATACAATTTTTTCCCCCTCCCCTCCAAATCTATGTGACCCATTTGTGGCAAGGCACTATTTATTAAGCCTAACACTCCGCTGAGGCTTTTGTTGGGAAAGGAGGAGAGGCCGCAAGTGTATAAACCCTGATGTTGCTCTAGGAAAAGTAATATACAAATGTAATAATAAAACAAATAAACGTTGCCCACAATTATAGGGATAGCAAATACAAGAATCTGTTGAAAACTACCTCATCAGTTCTTGAGTTCTGCTTGCTTTGTCCTGTCCTGCATCCCAAGTTTTGTTCAACGTCTTTCTTATGTGAGCCATCCTGAGCCTCTGGTCTTACAAGACTTCCATGGTGTTACTGAACCTAATTCTGTTCCCGTTTTCCAATGTGCATAATTTTCATGGGCCTGGGAGTGAAATTTTGTGTACAGTCTTGCATATCTATCATGTCTTAGTCCGTATCTTAAGCGAACTAATTTGTTACAAATTCAAATTTTATTACTTATTTATCTAATTTATCTAATTCATAACCTGCCTTTATTATTTTTTTCAAATAACTCAAAGTGGTGAGCATATTCAACACACCTTCCGCTTCCTATTTCCCCCACAACAATCCTGTGAGATAGGCTGGGCTGAAAGAGAAGGACTAGCTCAAAGTCACCCAACTGAGGTTGGGATCTGAACTCACTTTTTTCTCCTGCTTTCTAGCCTGATGCCTTAACCACTTGACCAAACTGGCCTATTAAAAAATTATAAACAACAATAAAGTATTCTTGCCTACTATAATGTTGTAGTTTTTTGTTTGTTTTGTTGTTCTTGCAGTTCATCCACTGCTTTATAGTCTTTTAGCAGGAGGAGATTTAAGTAAAAATGTGAGACTACATCTGGGCAGAAATGGTAGTCCATTACAAACCAAGTCAAAGACCTTCCCTTTTGGAAAAAAGTAATTTGCTTCCATTTTGACAGTCATTGCACTATGAAATGTGATAATTTTAATACTGTTGAAAAACATATTGTAATAACTGAGATATGTTAAGATGTTATTCCAGCAATAACCTGTGGTGAAGTTAAGAGTTAAAAATTTAAAGAAACCCACGGGCAGTTTGTCATTAAAATAAAGAGCACTTACTTCTGTGTTTGTGTAGTATAGCTGTTATCATAAGCTTCATAACTTGGTTCATCATATTCACCTCCATATCTATCATCGTATCCCTATAAGGGAAAAAATGATCCAATTTAAAAGGATGATCAAGTAACAAGTTGACATCTGTAACAAAAAATTAACATTTAAGTATTATATTCATGCAAATTAACACCTTCAAAAATACAGATTTGAGTGGTTTTGGTCCTTCCAGTCGAAGCATTCCCTGAGCAGAGTTTTTGTTATGACTTCCAGTCAGAAAAGAGACCACCTTCACTTCCAACTATGTTCTTGAGACACGTCAGTGCTGTAGTGCGGAATTTTGGGAAGCAACAAGGACTTTGAAAGATGGATTATTAATTTTCCACCAGGAGAATTTGGAAACCTCTAATTTGGTTCAGTGGCCTAATCCAAAGCATCATACAGTAAATGTGTCAATCAGGTAGAGATTACTCCAGAAATAGTTCAGTGCCACTGTGTAGACAAGACTGATAAAAATGGAGTTTCCTTGGCCAAAGTATGGCATAGAAAAAAATGTAAATTGATATAACTGTTTTTCAGCTGCATAGGGTGAAACTATCAAGCAAGCCATCTCTATGAGGAGGCTAATCATGCCAAGCAACTTAAAATAGTGGCCTCAAAAATGCCAGTAAGTTTGTGTTTTGGAATACAATAAAACATGAAGTGATAAAGATAAATGGGTTAGCAACCTTTACTATGAAGAATGCCCATATCAAATTCTAAACATTTATTGTGGACTTGGAACTATCTAACAGTATGAAATAGGTGAACTGGCAGATAAACTCTGGGCAAAGAAACACAATGTGACTCTGGCAGAGAAAGGTAAATTGGTTCTGGGCAGAGAGACAGAGTCTGACACTAGGCAAAATGAGGATATATGGCTAAAGTAAACTTTAATTAAGGGAGCCCAGAACGATATTCAGCAAAGGAATATTTGGAATATTTAAGGCTCAAAATTATATAAATGAAACAAAGGTAGACTTGCTGCAATTAGAGTTGACCTACTGTATGAGGTCAATGTGGAATGGAAAATAAACTCACAAAATTATATTACTAGTATACTCAGCTGGTTACAAAAGTCCTCCTCCATTACTTTGATCAGGTTGTGTACAACAGTGGTCTGAAGAGAAACATAGTGGAAGTCTAGACTGCTGCTGTTTTTTTTCTGCCTTAAAATGATCTTAGAAAACCAAGAACTGGCTATCCTGTTGGATCTGAGGTTTTTTTTGGCTGTAGAAAAGTGAGGAATGTCTCAAAAGTGCTTTTGTAAGAGGCAACTGGACTTTCTTGGTTTTTTTTTTCTTTGAAAACAATTTGCTTCTCATCCGAGTAGCATCTTCAGCTTCTTTGATGAGAAGCTAAATGTTTTCAACCAAGAAAGTCCAGTTTGGAAAAGCATCTTTGGGACAACCATGGCCTAGATGATTGAGAATCTCTATAGACAAAATTGGGGAATCCCTTTTCTTCATCTCATCTCCCACTCTGTCTCTTGCTGTTGTTGTTCCTTTACAATTTCTACCAGCATAGTCTACCATCTAATATGGTTATTGGCCCTTCAAAGCTGTTCTTGACCTAGGTGTGCAAATGATGGCCAGCACATATAGCTTTCCTATAGCAGTGCTATTATCTCAGTCCTTGGCTGTTAGGTATGCTGCTAGTAAGGCTAAAGAGCGATTTATTGTGTATTCTAGGAAAATGTTAATGAAGGCTACAGTTATTTTTTTTTCCTGGAGCTCAGCGTACAAGTGCATTTCTAAATAGTGGTGGGTGAAATAATAGCTAAAGAAATGACTAGATGACTGCAAGAATACATTATCTCATTATATCATTAACAAGCTTATTACTGGCATATAAAACATACTTTTCTCTCTGTCTCACTCTTTTCCTTCCTTCCTTGTACAGAGAAAGCCACAAATAAGTGTTGTTCCAAATGTGCTTTTAACTTATTTCATTCTGGTTCTAATTTCTTCTGCCCAGCTAGTAGTTGGAAGGATACACAATACGTGCTTGGGTAAAATCATAAAGCCTATCAGTAGTCAGGTGGGTCAAACAAATGAGCTGCTTTAGCTGCCAATTCTGCCAAATTTCCAAGAATGACTCTCAACCTTGATTTTAGAAGATAGGGTTGCCTATTCTTCTAACCATATGAAATAGGTGACAACATGGTTAAGCTCAAAAAAGAGTTTTCTACTAAAAAAAAAATAAAAAAAAATCTGGGGCCTGGGAAAAATCTCTTCCAAGCCCTTCACTTATTAGCACAGGGCAAAGCTGCAGCTCAGAAGTTCAATCTGATGTTTATTCAACTGTTTCTGAATCAAACTGACTTTGTGAATCAAATCAGATTAAACTGGGTCATTTGGTCTAACCCAATTGAAAAATCTACAATCTGAATGAAACAACTCAACTCAACACTCCTATAAATAAGATAGGTATCAGGAAGAATTTGAACCCCAGTATCACACATCAAAGTCTGTCTGTCTGTCTGTCTGTCTGTCTGTCTGTCTGTCTGTCTGTCTGTCTGTCTGTCTGTCTGTCTGTCTGTCTGTCTATCTATCTATCTATCTATCTATCTATCTATCTATCTATCTATCTATCTATCTATCTATCTATCTATCTATCTATCTATCTATCTATCTATCTATCTATCTATCTATCATCTGTTTTACAATGTTCCAGATATTGCATGTTCAGGAAAGTTTACCCAACAAATAAATGCAGGATTTAAAAAGAGAGATCTTTCAGATGAATTGGCATTAGGCAAGCTACTTTTCAAAATACACACAAGATCTGTTTAAATATTTAATCTCTGTGGGTTTTTTGTTTTGTTTTATTTTTTGGAGTACCTACTTTACTGAGAAATATTGTAGAGCATTTGAGCAGACAAGAACATTCCATGATATTTTGCAAAAAGTGTTGGAAGAGAAGCACACTCAAAAGGTCAAGAAAATTAAACTCTTTTTCAGAACAGCTTTGGCACGGAAAGAGAATCCCCTATTACTGTTATGTATTTAATTTTGAGTACCTACTTCTGCAAGCCACGGTGATTACAAATAAGATTCATGGCTAGAGTCCAACAGCCATGAGGATGCAGTCAGTATTCATAGCTTGAGTGCAACTATGAGAATGGACTGTTATGAACAACTCCAAGGAATTGCATCAGCACCAATTGGATTTTCCCTGCAATATTAATCGCAGCCAGTACTTTCCTCAGATTTGGCAACTGACAAAGCAGCAACACTTAAATTTATACTCCTCAACCACTTTCCACTTATATTAAAATGGATAATTTTCAAATGCAAATATCAAAAGCCATATGTATGCATGCACTGCATCCAAGCACATTCTGGCAAAGGGTCTGATCACTAAATGTCTCTTCTGAAACATACTGCTGGTATGGAGCAAGTAACTGTAAACATGCCAGAAGAATTAAAAACTATAGAGAAAATAAAACAGAAGAACGGTAGATCAATAACACAATAATACTGCTTTACAAAGAAGACTAGCAATCGAAAACTATAAAGTCAGATGGAAGAAACTGGAGTATTAAGATTATCTTTAGAAAGCTTTCTGGTCTACTGCTATAACCTGTTTTGATTGCAGAAATCAAAACTGGGGGAGTTTTTTTAAATAGTTGGCCATAGCTTGGGAATTTCCTCTCCGGGTTTATTTTAGTTGCCTCATGTATATTTGTTAGTTAGAAAATTCTGTAGACAGGCAAACATGAAACCAAAAAAAGGTAAATTTACATTTGTTAAATGTGCTTCTACCTATTGCTGCTTTTTTAATGATCATAACTTCCTAATTAGGGCAGATGGTTTTAGCATGGAAGGCAAAAGCAATTTATTCATTTGGCAGATGTTCTTTCATTAAGTGCAATCTGTCTACTTTCTGTTTTTTTTTAAAAAAAATCTCTCAATGCATTCCTAAACATTTATTTTGTACATATTTTCTTAGATTTTATTTTAAAAACTAATTTATACTAACATGTTTTTATCACAGATGTTCAATTGTATATATATGTTTGAGATGAGAAGGACAATTTAGAAATTAGAAAAGATTAAAAACCATATTTCAGTATGTACTATTTCCATTAATCTGGACCAGGTTGGTTTACTCTGAAATAAGGTTCAAATGAAATAGTTTAGCATCCCTAGGTTTTAGTAAAACAGTTGAAACCTCACTTGAAAGGACTATGTTCTGTACTTAACAGCCTCTAAAAGGATTAAATACACTACACAGAATTTTAAACTTTTGGTTCTGATGTTATCTCCATAGAAATAAACCAACTTTTGCATCATCCAAAGATATTTTATCTTCTGTTCAATCAGCTTCATTTAACAGAAGCTTGTTAGAATGGGACAGCAGCTGACAATAAACAATTTGATGGAGACTTCCCCTTGTGAGAAATGAAATGTGTACAATGCATAGTGATACTAGTGTCGTATATTCCTTTCCATCTGCCCGGCATGTATAGAAGACTATGCAGAGATTTTCAAAGAGGGTTTTCACTCTGATGGAGAATTGAGCCAGATGTCCCTCTGTGCATTGGAATAATGCTCTGGTAGTGCAGCTGATCAGAACAGAATAACAGAGTTGGGAGGGACCTTGGAGGTCTTCTAGTCCAACCCCCTGCTCAGGCCAGAAGCTGTGGCACTTTGCTTCTCTTGGCAATAGTAGTTTGGTTCTTGTTTGAAAGCTCTTTTTAATGTAGTGCAAAGATTTTGTCCAGGCAGATTTTAGCAAACATAAACAAAAATGTTTATGAAGAAATGAAACAAAGAATGAACAAAGCACGATATCACAGCAAGCAAGTTTTAAAAAATGCATGTGAGAGTGGGAAAGCAAAGTGATTTTATCAGTAAACACATAAAAAGTATACACTACAGAAATGTGCCCAAGCCTTTATTGCATGTACTTCAAAGAACACAGAATTAATGCAGACATAGGAAAGAACAGTCTGCAGTTTGGAAAAATAAGAAACTGAGTATGTTGAAATTGTTTAATTGTTAGGCTGAGCTATTTTTACAGCCAGGCAGGCTGTATTAGTTTG